ATCCTATCCAGCTTAAATAGATTTATATGTTTGGGCTGTATTTCGATGCTCAATTATGTGGTAATGTTCAAGACATGAAGGAAGAGGCTAGCTGAATTTTCCCCATTGTGGTTTTCCAATGTTCCCTCTTCAGCTGACCGAGACTTCTTCTCGCTATGCCCGGAAGATCTCTGGCACGACAGCCCTTCAGGAAGCATTAAAGGAGAAGCAGCAGCACATCGAACAGCTCCTGGCTGAGCGTGACCTGGAGCGTGCTGAAGTTGCTAAGGCAACCAGCCGCATATGTGAGGTGGAGAAGGAGATTGCCATCTTGAAAGCTCAGCATGAGCAGGTAGGTAGACCTGTATGGGTGAGAACTGAACAGGAAGTGTAATAATATGTGGGAATGACCTTGGAGAGATGGGGAAAGAGATGCTGCCTAGGGAATGATCATATAAGAGACATAGCGTACAGGTGCATAAAGAGCAGAGAAAGAGGCTCAAAGGGGGCGCTCCCACTCCCAGATTTTCAGGCTGTAAAGGAGACGGCGAGAGAACTGTACCTTCAGACTTGCAAGATTCTGTTGATGTAGCTTTACAATAAAGTAGAATTAGTTTCTCTGGTTGTATTTCCTGTCGGGTCTACCTGAGAAGGTTGATAAGAAGCCAGGAAGGAAAAGCATCTGATTTATAACACTATGAATTATTTATTATTAAACACTAAGTGTGACTTCGGTTTGAAAGCACAAAATAGGCCGATCATTATTAGCAGAAATAATCATTTGTTATTTGTTATTCACCAAGCTTTGTCTAAAGCAGGGGTAGGCAACCTCGGCTCTTTTATGACTCATGGACTTCAACTCCCAGAATTCCTGAGTCAGCTATGCTGACTCAGGGATTCTGGGAGTTGAAGTCCATGAGTCATAAAAGAGCCGAGGTTGCCTACCCCTGGTCTAAAGCAAGCTTTCCCAACCGTGGCAATGTCCAGGTGGATGGCCTTCAAATTCCCGAATTCCAGAATCAGCAGGGACATCAATGAGAACGCTGAAAGTTAAAGCCCACACACCTGGAAGTTGCCAAGATCAGGAAACTAAGCACTAAACAGTGTACAGGTAGTCCTCATCTTATGACCACAATAGAACAAAAATTTCTGTTGCTGAACAAGACCGTTGTTAAGTGAGTTTTGCCCCATTTTACAACTTTTCTTGCCGCAGTTGTTAAGTGAATGGCTGCAATTGTTCAGTTAGTAATCCAGTCATTAAGTGATTCTGGCTTCTCCAATGACTTTGCTTGTCAGAAGGTCATGGTGAGGATCACCATAAAAAGTGATCACATGACCCCAGGACACTGTAACCATCCATATAAATAAAAATGTAAATGTTCGTTTGTTCAAAATCTTAAATCTCCGAAAGTTCTTCACCGATTGCTTTGAAATTTTGACACAATGTTGCATTCAAATACACACGTGTTTTTATATATCTACTATTATGTAGATGTCACACCTGTGACAGGTAAAAACATGCTCTTTTTTTTGAAAAACAGCGGCATCTGTTGGACATAAAAGCAACACACGCTACAGCAACATTAACCAGACTGAGCCACAGCAACGTGTGGCCGGGTACAGCTAGTCATAAATATGTACCATTTGCCAAGTGGCCAAATTTTGATCACATGACCATGGGGTGGTGCAAGGGTTGCAAGTGTGAAAAATGGTCATAAATCGTTTTTTTCAATGCCATTGTAACTTCAAACAGATGGTTGTAATCCGAGGACTATTTCTATACCAATAAGATGATCTTAACAGATTTTACTAACCTGCTACTATCAGCCTTGTCCAGGTAGATTAAACCCATAATGCTATTGTTCTGATTGAGTTTATGCTTTTCCATGTATTTGTGCCTGCACACACACTAGCAAGGCCTGCAGGTGGATTTTTAGAACCTCAAGCAACTCTTGCAGAAATTATTAGATGTCGAATAAAACTGTAAAGTAAATATACCCCTTTCTGGTTGGCCTTGCCAGGCTGCCTTGTCAAATATCTCCTGAGCCTCCGGGAACAAAAAGGCAGAAGTAAAATCATTTATGGAAAACTCATGTTTGCCAGGTTCATTTATTTTGGTCATTTCCTCCTCTTAATGGGCAAGAATAAAAGGTAATAGTAGTGAAATTACGTCTGTGTTAATCTGTACAATGCTGGAAGATTGATTGGGCTTCCTTTTTTGTTTCATTTTTAGTATGTAACTGAAACCGAGGGAAATTTGCAGAGAGCACGCGCCTTGCTGGATGGATCACAGAAGGAGAAAGTAGAGCTGCTGAACCAGTTAGAAGAGGAGAAAAGGTATCCACAATTTGAGGGTTGGGGAGCTGAAAATAGAACGAATGTGAAATATGGATTGTTTGCTTAGGGCAGGGGTAGGCAACCTTGGCTCTTTTATGGCTCGTGGACTTCAACTCCCAGAATTCCTGAGCCAGCATGGCTCAGCTTGGAAACCTCTCCCTTTCTCCTCAGCATGGCTGGCTCAGGAATTCTGGGAGTTGAAGTCCACGAGTCATAAAAGAGCCAAGGTTGCCTACCCCTGGCTTAGGAGAAGGCAAATAAACAAGCTTAGTGGTGCAGTGGTTAGAATGCAGTATTGCAGGCTAATTCTGATGACTGCCAGCAGTTCATTTCTCACCGGCTCAAGGATGATTCAGCCTTCCATTCTTCCAAGGTCGGTAAAATGAGGACCCAGATTGTTGGCAGCAATATGCTGACATTGTAAACCACTTAGAGCAGGAGTCTTCAAACTTGGTAGCTTTAAGACTTGTGGACTTCAACTCCCAGAATTCCTCAGCCAGCCCTGGTTGGCTGAGGAATTCTGGGAGTTGAAGTCCACAAGTCTTAAAGTTGCCAAGTTTGAAGACCTCAGAGTGCACTATGAAGCGATAATAGATCTTGCTATTTAAACAGCAATAAATCAGCTTGTTTGAATTCCATTTCATAATTGGAGCTACAGTATATACTATAAGAGAGCGGAGGTAATAATTTTGGGAATTTTTTGACGTTATCGCTTTCTTCTGACTTTTCCCTTCTTTTACAGGAAGGTAGAGGATTTGCAGTTCCGAGTTGAGGAAGAATCCATTACAAAGGGAGATTTGGAGGTAATCGACAGCATGACCATTGTTTATTAAAATTTATACACTAGCCTGAAGCATTGTTGATCTCCTCTGTACTGATTCCTCGTTAACTCATTGTCTTTTAATAAATTGAGTTTTGATCGGCTAATGCAGGCTCTTCCGTGTGTTTTGAGGAATAGCATAGGCAAAATAAGATCAAAGGGTACCCCACAGAGAATGTGACTAGTCTATTCTTACAGTCAATAATTAAAAAGAGGGATTCCAGTTTTTATTTGCTTATTTTGAACAATTTTGGAACTTGTTTGGCTCAGTAAATTAGTATACAGATCAAATCATAAGCAAGGGTGAAGATCATGTATGGGCATTTCCTTATTCTAGTTTTATTTCTAATTTAAATAGAATCTGCTTGAGTCCTATTACGTAGGGAAAATGGTGCCTCCAGCTTACTCCACTTTGTAAGCTCTTATTTCAACAAAGATTATATAAAACCCAACAGGATTCTTATATTCACCTTTCTTCTAGGACAGGGGTCTTCAAACCTGGCTCTTTTATGACTTGTGGACTTCAACTCCCAGAATTCCTCAGCCAGGCACACTGGCTGAGGAATTCTGGGAGTTGAAGTCCACAAGTCATAAAAGGGCCAAGTTTGAAGACCCCTGTTCTAGGAGATGTTTTACTGTTCTGAATGGTTATCAACACCATGCTGTATATGTGTACTTAGAACTAAGCCCTATTGATTTCAATAAGACTTGCTCCCAAGTAAATACTCTAGTGTTCCAGATGTGTTGAATTTCAGCTTCATTCATTAGCAATCGTGATAGTCCAGTTGCCACACATCTGGAAGGCACAAGCTTTGAGAAGGCTGATATAGGAAATTACTCATATCTCTTCCTAGATTAAAATTAGATTTAATTCAGAAGGGAATGCATATTACGTTAAGCACCAACTAATACAGCATTCATGCACATCTGCTGGCAGTCTGACCTGGACAAATAAGGCTGACTTAATGAATCTTAATTTCAATGTTCAGTTCGTGATCCAAACGCACATAAATAGCCACAATACAGTAAATGTTGTCTTATGTTCCCATGGATAAATAGCTTGTGCCCACTAGGATGGATGCAAAGAAGAGACTTCTAAGATCAATGCTTTTCAAAAACAGCTCCCCTGATGCATTTGACTCAATGATTCTCAGATCATGATTTTGGGGTGAGCAAAGCTGCCTGAGTTGGCAGCAGTTCCCAGGCTGGACTTGAATTATGGCTGAGCATCTTGTCTCTAGAACAATAACTGACTCAAGGGGAGACTGTCTGGAGCTGCTGTTTGAGCTGTTTGGGAGGAGAATTCAACTGCAGTTGTGACATGAGGGATGTACACCAATGCCATTTAATAGTTTGTGTCTGTGTTTGCAGTTGTGAAGAGGCTTGACTTGAAAACTTCCTTACCTTGCATCTTGTGTGGATGGCTGTCCCTGTCTTAACCTATCTTGTCCTTCTCCCCACCTCTATTGTGTAAACTGTCTTTCTTCACTTTGTATACTGAAGAAGATAATTTGCAGGCATCTCCATTACGATTATTATTATTATTATTATTCCCTTGTTCTCCACTCTCTTTCTCCTGTTTGCTTTCTTTTCTTCCTTTGGTTTCCTTCCTGATGTGTGACCAGACTCAGACGCAGATGGAGCATGCTCGAATACGGGAGCTCGAACAGAGTCTCCTGTTTGAGAAGACCCAGGCAGCAAAGCTTCTCAGAGAATTGGAGGAAAGCAGGGTAATCCACCCAAACCCCTTCGCTGCCCTACCTCATGCTAGCCAATGCCTGCAGATCCAATTGCTTGCTGGCTATGTTGATAATTAAGCTTCCATGTTTCATGTTAACATCTTGTTTTGCAATTACTCCCCCGCTCCCCACAATCTCTTCTCCATTTCTCTGGAGATGGTAACACTTTGTAGTTTTGTCTTCTTGGTCTATTGGACAAATCCTTCCTTTGATTTCCATTCTGCAGCTTTTCATGCATATCATTTGGATTGGACTGACTTTGCCACTCATTATCCAGTTTAACAATAATCATTGGTTGAATACAGAAAGCTATTTATCTGATGATAGGGACTTGGCTTTGCGAGCAGTTTTATCTATTCATGGTGGTATCCCATAAATAAGAGGCTGTTCTTTTGTCTCTAACCTCACAATCGCACCCCGTTGGAAAGCAGGGAACTGGCACAATTTATTCTCCCTTTTTTTCTCACCTGAAACCCCCCCCCCCTCCAACTCTTTCCATACAATTCTCTGCACGTGACTTGACACTTGGTAAATGGCAATCTGTATTCACCCATCACCACTGCAGAGTTGCTTGGGACCCAGGAATTCTGCACCATAACTTAACTCTGCAGGTCCAGCATTTTGGAAAGCATGGTAAAAACAAGCATGTAGGCGTCAGGATTCTTATCCAAAGGAATGGTTTTAGAAACAGAGATAAAGCTGGATCCCGGAAAATCTCTTTGCTATGCCTTTTTCATCGATCCCAATTTAATCTAACTTAATTCATGAATAGCCTGCATGTTTTTAATTCTGGATCTTAGAGTACAAGAGGATCCTATAATTGCTCGTTTGGGTATTAACTCAGAATAGGCTTATAAGAGCTGTCTATCATGTATCATCAAGTCATATTCAAAGCCTTGAGTGTATTTCATGCCTGGCACCCTACTTTGGTTCCTGTGGAGTCATACAAGGGAACAGGGGATTTGAAAGGCCCAATCAAGCTGCAGATAAGTGTAGTAGATACATAGGTATTAGGGCACATTAATAGTATCTCATGATAAAGATCCGTGGTGGCACGGTGGTTAGAATGCAATATTGCAGGCTAATTCTGCCTGCAAGTTCGGCAGTTCAAGTCTCACCAGTTCAAGGTTGACTCAGCCTTCCACCCTTCCGAGGTTGGTAAAATGAGGACCCAGAAAGTTGGGGGCCGTATGCTGACTCTGTTAAACTGCTTAGAGAGGGCTGTAAAGCACTGTGAAGCGGTATATTAGTCTAAGTTCTATTGCTAAGTGCTATAACACCATGAACTAAAAAATGCCATCAGGCTTATGGAAAGTTCAAGATGGGTCCTTTTTATGGACTTTTCAAATTTGACAAATTTACCTAAATCCTACAAAAGATTCAGAAAAATATGAACTTTCCAAATCAAAATCCCACTCAGCAACTAGAATCAGGCATTCCGGATTTGGGGCTTAGTCTTCTAGGATGTTATATTTTTATGCATAATGCTTAATCCCATAGTTAGACATCGCTTCTGAGTACCACTTTTTTAAAAAAGTTTATTCATTAGACTTATTTTTATTAGATTTCTCCTAAGAGATTTCCCTTTATTTTATCCCCACAACAGGATCCCCTTGAAGTAGGTTGGACTTTAACGGCTGAAGATAGACTAGGGCAGGGGTCTTCAAACTTGGCCTTTTTATGACTTGTGGACTTCAACTCCCAGAATTCCTCAGCCAGCATGCCTGGCTGAGGAATTCTGGTAGTTGAAGTCCAAAGTCCTTGATTTATGACCACAATTGGGTCATAATTGTGGAATCTCTATTGCTAAGTAAGGCAGTTGTTAAGTGAGTTGTGCCCAATTTTACGACCTGTTTTTGCCACAGTTGTTAAGCAAATCACTACAGTCCTTAAGCAAATCCAGCTTCCCCTACTAGCTTTACTTGTTGGAAGCCAACTGGGAATGTCATAAATGACAATCATATGACCCTGGGACATGCAGCCATTGTAAATACCCTAATTTTGATCATGTGACTGTGGGGATGCCTCTTCCGATTGCCATTCTCTTCAGGGCCATTAGAACTTTGAATGGTTGTTAAATGAATGGTTGAAAGTTGTGGAGTACTGTAGTTCAGAATTCCCCAATGTTTCCGGCTTTGCGGACTGGCAGGGGGAGGGGAGAGAGGCAGGTTCCACATGAGTGGCCGGCAAGCACGTGCACAATTCCATTTGCGTGAGTGGCATGCATGCGCGCCTGCCGCTCACTTAAATGGAGTATGTGCACGTCCTCTCACCTGCTGTTTGCACAAGTGAGGATGCATGTGCTATCTCCGAGACCGCCTTCTGCCGCAGATTCCCTCCCATAGACCGGTACGCTCCCACAGAGTGGGTCTCCTCAGGGTGCCGTCGGCCAAGCAGTGTCGGCTGGCGACCCCCAGGGGGAGGGCCTTCTCTGTGGGTGCCCCCGCCCTCTGGAACGAACTACCCCCCCAGATCCGGGTGATTCCGGATCTCCTTACTTT